CAGGACTTGGTGTATAGTTGTACTTAGGCTTAAGGATACAAAGCGTAATCAGCAAAAGGAGAGGATGCTTGGGGTGAAGTGTTGGGGAAGCCAGGTGCAAGCTTCCAGTCCAGTAGTCACAGGACGCAGGTAATTCTTCTAGCAGTGAATTGTGCCAACATATCGCAACTGTTGCCAACAGGAAAGCTTGCTGGAGACACAGCACCTAGGGTTTTTACTGGGGACTGGTCACTTAAAAAGCCCATACCTGGCACATACTGGAATCAAAGCAGATCAAAGCAGATCTTTAGCATAAACTATTGTTTGTACATACTGTTTAGGTGCAGTGAGCCACTCTTATCAATTAGTTATGAGAACCGTCTGGAAATTCAGGTTCCCACAACCTCCCAGATGCCATCCAAGGGGGCCAACCTTGAAAGTAGGCCAAAAATAGCAGTCAGGCCTGCTGTATTAACTTTTCATAGAGATGTCTTAACTTTCATTTTTCTTAGCCTTTTCTTTTTACACTGATAACTTTATCTCAGTTTCTGATTTCTTCACTAGAATCTTCTTAAGCCAATTGTCTACTCTGTTATTTGTTTATTGTTTGGTCATGCCATGCCATGCAGCACATGAGATCTTAGTTCCCAGCAGAGGGATAACACCCATGCCCCCTGCCTTGGAAGGAGGGAGACTTAGGCACTGGACCACGAGCGAAGTCCTGATGTTACATTATTTTAAATGCATATTTACATTGCGTCATTTCATTCTGTGTCTGTGTTAGCTGTTTTTTTTTTCATTATCACCATCATGGCATCTCTCAAGTCTTTAAAGTGTTAGTTGCTCAATTTTGTCTGACTTTTTGTGACCCCGTGGACTAGCCCGCCAGGCTCCTCTGTCCATGGAATTCTGCAGGCAAGAATAGTGGAGTGGGTAGCCATTTCCTTCTCCAGGGATTCTTCCTGATCCAGGGATCGAACCTGGGTATCCTGCATTGCAGGTGGAGTCTACCACTGAGCTGCCTGGGAAGCCCCAAGTCTTTAAATGGTAGCTGTAATTTCCCAAATTGCTTTCACCTTGGGTGTTCCTCCCATATTACCTCATACTGTATTAGTCAGGAAACCAAGTAGAGAGTCTGTTAGTTGGTGAATATATCTAGTACAAGTTCCTAGAGAAATGACCTCTAGATCAAACTGTGGGACATCTGAGTTCTCTGGAAAATTTGCTAAAACACAGATTGCTGATTCCATCCCCCAGAGTTTCTGATTCAGGATGCCTAGAGTGGGGCCTGAGACTTTGCATTTCTGACAAGTTCCTGGGTGATGTCAATGATGTTGGTCTTGGTGACACCCTTTTAAAACCTCTTTTCTAGTTTGTGATAAAATGTAAACTCACATGAACAAGCATATTGTAATCTGTAGAATTTATACGTGTGAGCGTACCTAACACAGTGTGCTGAAAGTGAGTGGACAGTTGATGGCACTGTTGTCAACTCGTGTGTGTTGTGCACCTGCTACTTTTCTTTCAAGACATTCATAGGACACATGCTCATGTAGATCAGCGTAAGGAGTGGTTATTAGAAAAGCATACTTTCTTATCTATTGTTAAGGTAAATAATAGAGCCCTTATTTTTTTATGTGCTCAGGGAATCTTCCCCACATCACTTCTAATTTATCATGTCACCTGGGTAATTACAGCCCAGTGGATTCTTTCTTCGGTATTTTCTTGGGGACAATCAATTAGCAAGGGAAATGCTAGAATCTAAGAGCTCTGTTGGCTTTCCTCTCCAGTTGGGAATGCTTTATGTGGAGTGCCATTGGAATGTTTTTCATGACTTCAGCCATGTCCGAGGATCATAAAGTGGCAGAGTTTAGCTGGTGACAGGATGGGCATGGTCATCATAAAAGATAGCAAGCCGGGTTTCATAATGAAATCCTGAGAATGTACTGATCCACCTGGGGTCTTATTTTCACTGCGGTCTTTCAGAATTGTGAATCAGATTAGTTTGAGGTTTCTGAGATTTTAATTTGAAAGTTTTGGCAACTCCCCAGCCCCCATCCAAATCTTGCTATCTGGAGTATATGATATTAAATGTGTCCAGTTAGTCTTCTCACTGTCACAGCCCTTGAAGAGTAACTTTAAAAAAAAAATTCTTTTTGACAGCATTGCTGAACTTGGAGAGCATTGTACTAAGTCAGATAAACCTAACATTTATTAGATATTATTACTTAAGGGTTAGAATATTTTTAAAAAGTAAGTAAATATATAGATTAATTTGAACTTGTAGGGGGGAAATTCTTTTGTCTTTAAACATTGATTTATTCTTTTGCTCATTGTGTCCAATGGGATAATGAATTTTTGAAGACAGGAAAAATATATTTTGTTTTTTGTATATTCTGGGCACCTCACCAGGAACTGCCTACTGGTAGTTCAGTTTTGATCTGGTTTGATTGATTGATCGGTTCATTCATTCACTTAACTAGTATTTTATTGAGTAGTTATTATTCCTACTTTATTTTTTTTGCATGGCTTGTGGGGGTCTTAGTTCTCCAACCAAGTATCAAACCCAGGCCGCAGCCGTGAAAGCACCGAGTCCTAACTGTGGGACCGCCAGGGAATTCTCTCTTCCTTACTTACTCTTGATCAGTGCTCTCTTTTTTTCTTCTGATTTGGTAAGATATTCTAAGTTTTAAAAAATATGACTGGAAAAAGGAGAAAAGTCTGTTGAAATTGGAAACTGTTGTTTTTAGTATAAATATATTTTTAATAAGTTGATAAGTGTCTAGAGCCAGACCTACAAAGGCCTTTCAGTTGATTTTTAAAAATCAAAGTCCAGAAGTTGTGTTTTAGTGCTGGCTTCTAAAGCTGCTGTAATAATGACTGATGACTCTCAGTAACTTTTTAAAATGATTTTTCCATAGGAAAGATAACCAAAATGCACATAATAGTGGTGTCCTTGTAGAGGAAGCAGGGTCAGTGGTGTTGGGAGTTTCATAGTTGGTGGTAATCTCAAGAGATGTTTTATTATGTTTTTTTCACATCTTAAACATTCATGACAAATATTCTCATATTAAATAATAAAGTTAAAATGACCATAAAAAATCTGGTGTTTTACTTTGTATATCCATATTTCATTATTCCTTATTGGTCTTCTATAATTTTATATATTGTGACTATTTTACTTAAAATTTGAAACTGGAATTGGTTTCCTATTTGTATGAATAGCCTCTAAGTCCTAAATAGCCCAGGACGTCATGGATGCTGAGTAAATGTAGACTTGATACTACATTTTGTGTCGTCTTTCTGATGTGTTTAACTAAGGCTGTTTTGGTTACAGTAATAGAAACCATCTGAGATTGTTGAAAGCCGAAAAGAGAATTTATTTTATGGATACTGAGTGCCTGCAAGTAGAGAGTGCAGTCATGTTTGAGGAGAGATTTAACTTTGGGAAAGCTGTCAGAAACTGAGTGTAGTGGTTCTCTCAGTCACTGAGCAGACACACACGCTCACATATGTCCCTTTTTTTCTCTGTATGTCTGTCCTTTTTCTTTATTACTGTTTCTCTTTCTTTGTAGACTGATTTTCTCTCCTCCCCACACATGCCAGAATATGGCTAACACAGGGTGACAAATCTTTCAGTTTTGAATTCTTAACAGGGAGAACCTGCTTGGCACACTTGGGATCAGATTGCTAACAATCAGTATAATCAAATTCTTGATGGCAAAGTGTATGGCCAGAACATACCTGTTTGTTAAGAGAAATAATCTGATAATTGATGCTTGTCACATTAGCAGCTTATTCTTTGTAAAACTATATGGACTCTTTTTAACTGTGAAAATTTGATCATCTCATAAATTATAAACTGCATTTTAGATTTATTAGCATATGACAATTTTATGTGCAATAGGTAATTTTATTATATGTTTTTATATTATATAATTTATAGAATATATAAATACATGTCATATGTTTACTTTATTACTGTTATCAATTCCACTTTACAAATGTGAAATTAGGCTCAGAGAAGTTAAATAACGTGTCCCAAAGGTCACATGTGGGCTTCTCTGGTGGCTCAGTTGTAAGGAATCCACCTGCTGATGCAGGAGACCCAGGTTCAATCCCTGGTTCAGAAAGATCCTTTGGAGAAGGAAATGGCAACCCACTCCGGTATTCTTGCCTGGGAAATCCCATGGACAGAGGAGCCTGGCGGGCTGCTGTCCATGGGGCTAGAAAAGAGTTGGACATGACTGAGCAGCTGAACAGCAACAACCAAGGTCACATGGATGAGGAGTTTGAACCCAGATACTCTTGATTCCAGAGCTCATGCTTTTGATCTCTTAGTATACAAGATTCCTCCCAATTTATGTGACCTTTGTTTTTGAAATGTGAATGATTTTTACCTTAAGAAAAATACCGTTTAGCAGTGCTTAACTTATGTCTAACTTCTGTGGTTCAATACATGATTCCTGAATTCTCTTGTATGTAGGTACAATTCTAGGACTGGGATATCTGAAGATAAATATATAAGATGCCGTTTCTGTTTTAAGTTGCTCAATCTAGGAGAGAAGACGGATACAAACCACTGAAATGCAGTGTGAAATGTTCACCTTCACAGAGTGCTCGTACCCATTTGGACCAAGCACAGCTAGTGTGTAGTAGGACAGTGGGCGCTGCAGCACTGGTTTCCGAAAGGGCTACCTTGGGCTCTGAGGTTCGAGTGCGCTCTGTAGCCTGAGAGTTCTGCTCGCCATGCGTTACGTGCTTCAGTTCCTTTTGCTCACTAGACAAAGAATGGATAGGTTTTTCAAGCGATCAGAGATTATGGTTTGCTTTTGATGGTTTCTTTCAAGGTCGTGTCTATCTGTGTATCTGTCCATCTGTATTTTTTTTTTTTTTTTGGCTATGCTGTGTGGCTTGTGAAAGCACAAAGTCCTAACCATTGGACTTCCAGGGAATTCCCAAGGTCATATTCTTGAGAACATAAAAGCGGACAGAAACGTGGTTGGTGAACCAGACAGCCATCAGGTGGGAAAATAGCTATAGCTTCATTAGTGGTGTAATGAGTCCACCGTTGGTTGGCCCAGGACCTAGATCTCTGTGTGAGGCCCAGTTCTCTGGCAGCAGGAGTTGATACACAGAGGTGGAGTCCTGCAAGCTCCAGAATGATTCGTCCTGCAAAGCTCTTGTCTTGCGCATGAATAGAGCAGAAACTGTGTTTGAGCAGCTTGTGGAACAGGACTGTTTTGTTTCTTGGGTGTTGGTCTGTGGTTTCCCAGCTGCTTAAAGGAAGTGGAGAAAATCAGTATGAGATTGAACCTAATATAAAATTGCCAATATTTGACCTTTTTTGATTTAAGAAAAATAGCAATTTCATATGGCTTCATCTAGTATTTGCTAAGTGTTTTACTCAGGACCTGTCAGTCTCCAAAAGTTTCTGAACATGCTACCTAATTTAAAACTCTCAAGCACCCTACAAGATCAGTCTACAGAGAGGAAACCAAAAATCAAAGTGGTGGGGTGACATACACCCAAAGATACACCCAAAGTTATTCAGTAAATGAATTGCAGTCTCTCATTCCAAAACCAGAGTGTTCAAATTTGCCAGGGTCTTAATCTGTATGTTGAGTAGTTCAAGTAGACAGCAGCCATTCTGAAATCAGATAACAAATAAGTGATGGCTTGTATCCAGAGAGCTAGTGAACCAAGACCCAAACCCCAAATCCACATGGCCAGATGTAAATTATTATAGTGCCAGTTTATGGTTTTTCTTTGTGCTTCTGATTTTTGAACTGGCTGTAACCTTCGCTTTCGAGCTGTGGTGTAAGAGAAGACTCTTGAGAGTCCCTTGGACTGCAAGGAGATCCAACCAGTCCATCCTAAAGGAGATCAGTCCTGGGTGTTCATTGGAAGGACTGATGTTGAAGCTGAAACTCCAGTACTTTGGCTACCTGATGTGAAGAGCTGACTCATTGAAAAGACCCTGATGCTGGGAAAGATTGAGGGCAGAAGGAGAAGGGGATGACAGAGGATGAGATGGCTGGATTGGCATCACCGACTCAATGGGCATGGGTTTGGGTGAACTCTGGGAGTTGGTGGTGGACAGGGAGGCCTGGCGTGCTGCGGTTCATGGGGTCACAAAGAGTTGGACATGACTGAGCGACTGAACTGAACTAAGCTGAACCTTCGAGATTATTAAAGTTTAAACATTATAAATAAGCATGGTATGCTCTGGGTGATGTTATGCTAAAGTAGATTCATTTGAATAAGGTTTCAATTTCACTAGCAAGATAACAGATAAGTTTAACTACTCTGAGGACAAAATAAATTGTCTACCTTTATGTTAACATGGAGAAAGTGCCTTTGCTTTTTGGTGCATAGAATAATGTCTTAAATACAGGTTGTACTTAATAAATGTCCTTCCCAGTATATTTCTCTCTTACCTCTTTGCAGATGATGAGCATTCTAGTTAGAATGTCTTTTTTGAGTTATTTAAGTTTCCAGGAATATGCAGACACCCCTCTATGAATATGTAGGTCTCTCTCTGGTTAATAGACATGGGCCTAAAATTTACTTATAAATAATTTGTGGTTCCATCTCACAAGGTAACCTAAAGTTTAGGAAGAAAATTAATAAATATAAATATGTGCCATCCAGAGGATTCTTGTGCTTGGAGGAAAGGGTTAAATTTTTTTTTTAATATGGAAGAACTTTTTACAGTTCAGTTTTTAAAAAAATGAGTAACTCAGATAAATAACATGTATGAGCAGTTCATAGAAAAAATATACAAATACCCAATAAATACATACTGTTTAAAAATAATTTTTTCATGTATTTCAATTTTATAGTACACAGAATTCATATAATCTCTGTACATGTATACATATATTGGGTTGGCAGAAAAGTTCTTTCAGATTTTTCCATAACATCTTATTGCTGTCTTCAGACTTTGAGAGCAAGCTGCAGACATGATGTCCTTTCATCCCTAAATACTGCAGAGCATAATCCCCAACAAAAAGGACACTCTTCTCCTTATCATTGCATTCAACTGTCTAAATTGGAAAATCAGCATTGGTATACTACCATCCTAGTCTCAAGCCCGTTTCAGAGTTCATCAACTTTCCTAATTAGTCTTTTGCCTTTTCTGGCCCATGCTCAGTTCAGGAATACATGTTACATTTGATTATTACGTCTCTTCAGAGTACTTCAATTTGAAAGTCTTTCTCAGTTTTCACTGTGTTTCATGTCCTTTAGAGTGTTAAGGAATACAGACCTTACATTCTGTGCATCTAATTTTTCTCATAGTCAAAATCATTCTTGGCATGTATATCACAGAAAGGATGTGCTTTTATTCTCAGTGCATGACATCATTCTACTACTGATAATTATGCCAGGAATATGTCAATATTCCGTTCTTTATCACACCTTCACTCACCAGTTTAGGATCTATTGACAACTCGTATGAAATCAGTCACCTTCATGATGGTTGCTGAAAGATAATTCTGTTTCCATCATTCCTGCTACGTTTATTAACATTTTATTGTAAGGAAGAGCTTTCCTCTTGCTATATTTTTTAATTTATTCATCATTCATTTCCTTGTCAATGTGGAATCATAGATGCAAGTTTTACTGAGTGGGTTTTAATTTTTTACCTGAATATAATTTACTTACACATCTTAAGTCATTCAATTTTGACATATGCATATATCCCTAACAAGATTATGGGACAGCCAACACTTAAAGGTTGATGCTGATGGTTTCCCTCTTTTGGCCAGTAGGAGCCCCTTCAAGGTGGCTCCTGTGTCCCTTTGAAATGTTCCAGTTATTCATTGAGCATTTCTTTACTTATCTGGCAGAAGATGTTTTAGATTCTTCTTGTACTTTCTCTGCCCAACTTTGAAATTAAAGAATTTTTGATGTAGGTACCTTTTGATGTAGGATGGGTTCATCTGTTTGAATTATCTCTTGTTATTGTTTTAATGCCTCTTTGAGATTGTTGCATATAAAAAGATGGTTTTCATAGATTTATTATCACACAGTGTGTTTAAATACATTATTTACTGAGAATTTTAGTATCAAATTTAATATCTTGATTCCCTTGGCTACACTGGCACTGCCTTAGTAATCAATTTGAATGCTTACTGTTTTTAAAAAATCTACCTCAATAAAATGTCATCTAGCAGGTTTTCCTTTTTGAAAAATACATCTTGAGTAACTGAGTATTTCTTAGGCAGTGTCAACATTAGTCATTTGGAGCATTGATTAAACTGTTATCTTTCTGAAACTTACATATATCGTGTACTGTAGCCCAAGGCACATAAGAGATTACTGTTGATTCATTTGAGTACTTACATATTTCCATGGCATTTTAGCTTCTTGAAGGATTATTATCCACCAATAGCTAATTTAAAATTTGCTTATGCTTTTTAGTGTTTCCATGGAATTTAATGGTTTTTAGGTGCCAGTTAGGACACTTGGTAGATTGACTAGAAAAATAATTCTTTAAGCAGTGCTGAGATAACTGTGAGGTAGCTGTTGCCTTGACAACTGGAAAACTGTTCTGTTTGCTAAACAAAGGGATGGTAATTTAGTCATTTAATTTCCTTTTTGGCATGGAGGTAGTATAGAAATACATTTTATTTTAGCCTCTGAGATGGTCTGTATTTTTTTACCAAAAGCAGCAAAAGAGAACAAAAAAAGAAGGTAAGAGGTTTTTTTCTTCTTTTTTTCTGGTGATATACATTGTACACCTGACACGGTTGGTGTTGGTCAGAGGTATCTTGGTAAACCTGCTGACATGCTTCTATGTATATCTCTGCTTTGGATCAAAGTACAGTAGCCTCAACAGAGAGGTGTATAGTCTTGGTAATCTTCCTGCTACACTAAAGGACTTTGATGGACTTTTTCTAGCATCCACACAAACCCTTAACCTCTCCTGCTACTAGAGTTCAACATGATGACTTCATTTCTGAATTAAACAGGGGGATACTATTTTAAAGACCCCTTCTCCATATACACAGTTATACTAGAATCTGTTTTATTTATGTGGGATCTCTTTTGTATAGGACTTAAAAGCATTTTTTTTAAAAAACATTTTTTAAACTCACGATTGTATCTCCAAAATATTGAGTAATGATAACAACCTTTATTTGGTATTGTATGCTGGGTCCTGTTCTAATAAGCACTTTAAATGTTGCGTTTCAAGCTTCTCCCTGTGAGATAGTCACTATTTATTGTGTCTAGAGGCAAGGTTAACTGGCTGCTCAGTGGTAGATTTGAGTGTAAGCAAGAGCCTGTGCTCTTAATTACTATATTATACTGATTCTCATTAATAGAGTCATTCCAAACACCCTGGAGAATATAGACAAGTATTAGTAAGAATGTTCAAAATAACCCCTCTTCCCAGTGACCAACAGATTATAATATTTTGAGTATTATAATTGGGTTGATAATTGTGGGAGCCAGATTATAAGGGAGAGTTAACACAGTTATGCCTTCTTTTTTTTATATGTGTGAAATGTTCCTTACTATATATATTAAAAAGTAAAAAGCTACATGCCAAATGGAAAAGACAAAACAGAAACTTTTTTTTCGAGCAAAACAGGAAAACATACTTTGAATAAAGTATTTTCATTTCTATATAACTCCTTTCCAGTCCCTTTCTCATAGGTTAATCCCTCTTTAATAGTTGTTTTTAGCTTCAATGTGCATGTTTTTCTGTGTGTATATTGTATCAAATGTATCTTTGATTATTCCTGCATTTCTAGAAGCATAAAAAGTATAATAGTTAAAAGACAGGTACATATTACCAGTTACTCTGTACTGTGTTCTCGTTTGATTGAATGCTAAAGAAGTGCTATATTCTGAGGAGTAGTGACACTGGTTGAAAAAGTGAGAAAAGTGGTTTGACTTTCTCTTTGCACTTATTTATGATGAGCAGTAATTTATTATTTTTTTATTTTTTATTTTTCCATTTATTTTTATTAGTTGGAGGCTAATTACTTTACATCATTACAGTAGTTTTTGTCATACATTGAAATGAATTAGCCATGGATTTACATGTATTCCCCATCCC